AACTGGCTCATACGTTACACATGAGAAAAACCACGAAAGCGCCCATGTAGCTAGTCTATTTGTCGGTAATCGAACCCCAGACCGGACTTCTAGTATTCTGTAACTTTCCCACTTGTGGAACCAATTCATTTACGTAGAAATTAAAGCAAAATAATTTTAAACATTTAAATGTCTACTTCCTTAACTTTTAGTCTTCTGGTAACTTTTAGTCTTCTGGAAACATATGCTTCTGGTTTTTAAGCTTTTTAAAACAAAATGCAGAGATTTATGAAAGTTGCAGAAAAGCTGCGAATGGGGAGAATTCTAAAAAAGAAAATTTGTTGTTGTGGCTAATTTCACTCTGACCTAATCAGAACAATACCATCAATTTTATTCTGACCAGAAGCGCATGACTGCCCCTGTCGTAAGCGCAGGCCTTGAGCATCATATGGGTGATAGTATGGCAGACCAGCTCCGCGCTAGATACAGAATCCCAGGAAAAGGGTCCGAGAGTCTATCATCCCTATTCCCTTACCATCCAAGCACTCGACTAGACTTTCGCTTCGCCATGCATTTGGAGTGCCATCATGCTACACACGCTACACATTTACAAACATGCATGCCTTCTCCGACATTATACCTGGCGCTTTCGGAACCCCGGTCAGTGTCACTAACCACTATCTCGTCTGGCCGGCAAAAGAAACTTTAATCTTGTATGATTCGAGTATAAAAAAAATGTAGTAAAATACATCTGTATTTTAGGTAGCTAAAAGCAAGGTCCTCGGTGGTTTTACGTGTAAAATTCACTGTCAGTGTATTTTCAGCCGAAATAAAACAGTATACAGAGCATTTATATAAACGTATTTAATGACGGATACTATTTTCCCGTCAAGTTTCTTTTATAACTTCTTAAATTTATTTTCGCGTAAATATTCAGTTTAAGAAGGTAATAGATATGGAAACGTATTCCCAGTCAGAATAAAAAAAAACGTATTCCCAGTCAGAAATTTATTTGCACATAAAATGTACAAACACATAAATTGTTTTGCTTATTGTCAAAGGAAGAAAAAAAAACTAAATTATAATGAGTATTTTGCTTATAAATATTCTCATGGTTCGCTTAAAAATTGATTTCAATTTTATGAAAATCTTTCCACTCACACTGTACAGAATCATTACAAGAAAATTCTGCGCTTAGTAACCGTAAGAAGCTCTGCAATCAACAATTAAATAAATAGCAAACAAAGTTCTGTTGCCGTTTTTTCGAACATCCTGTTTATATAATTTAATGTTGCATTGTTCTCATTTCATAAAAATTGCCTAAATAGTAAGCCAAAGGATTCCTTTGGAAGTATTTATAATATTAATTATAATCCGAAAGTTGTAATCTGCAGTTATAATCTGAAAAACAACTTCAAGTTCTTTTGCCATTCGAAACTGCTGCATTCTGTAAGCTGGCTATTTCCGAAAGCTGCCTGGTTTGGTATATTGAGATTACGGCAAAGCTCACTAGGGCTAACTGTCTAAGAGGAGGGATGCCTTCGTGGAGGACTTTTTAAGGGAACTGGCTCATATACACCTTACAAATGGTGAAAACCACGTAAACTTGTCTGCTCCAGCTCGTTCGCGGGATTCGAACTTCGGAGCGAACTACCAGTGTTCAGCGAATTTACCGCTCGGCCGCTGGTGTGCCCCGAAAGCCGCCTGGAATATAAATGAAAGATATTTTTCTTAGGCAATAGCCAACTTGTATTAAAAAAACATAAGTTGGCAATTTTTTTTAATAAATAAAAAACGCATTGTTAGTGTAATTGAATGTAACGCAAGATAATGTAAAAATAGTACTTTCGATCGCAAATTTTTAAAAATACTCCACTAAACACGTTTGTAATGTAAAATTTCATGAGAAAAATTACAAATTATATTAAAAGATAAAGCTTCTTTCTATTTAACTTGAGATGCAAATATTATTTAAATATGTATGCAAAGCAATAATCAGGACTTAAAAGAAAAGTCGAAGAAATTCGAACTATATAGAATTTCTGCGCCAGTGCAATTTCGAATTCCAGCTCGAAGGATTTGTGGACAACACCTGCAGCTTAACACGCCGTTTCTCATTCCTGTTCGGACTGTGTCCGAAATCGACCAGTATTTCGATTTCCCGCTCGCTCCTGTCCTGCATTCAATTAACTGACCAGCGCCAAAGGTGTGGGAGGTGCCACATATGACGTTCCTGTCGCGAGGTTTAAGCTCATTCGTGTGGGCATTTCGTATCCTTCGACGAAATCCGCTCGTGATAAATTTTATGAACTTCCTCTGACTGTTCATTCTCGTGGTGTTAAATGGACAGTTACCATGTATGGTCATGGGAATATTTTCAATGAGACAGTTTCGCAATTGTAAAAATGTCACCGATTGTTTCTCATTAAAAAAAGTATGAAAATAAAAATTATTTTTGTTTTTGTTTTAATTGTGGTAAAACAGTTTGCGGATGATTTGCACCAAAAAACAGCGATAATTCGAGCAAAATTATTGAAAATTTAGGCTTTTGAAATAAAATTTTTCAAAGCACATTTTTTTACATTGATATATTACAAGATTATTCTGTTCTGTCATTTGGCTATGTCATTAATAATCTCCGCGGATTATTTGCAATTAAATCCTGTATGAGTGGATTTTTTACTGGAATTTCTGAATTTTGCACAGTAAGAGCTGCATTTAATTTGTGATTGAATGGAATTTTTACTCGAAGTCCTACTTTTCATATAACAGCCGCAGATAATTTGCGATTGATTGTATATTTTAGATCTGAGAAGTTTAGTTCTGGAAGTTTTGAATTCTGTGTAATAACAGTTGCAAAAAATTTATTTATTTATTGAAGGAACACAGGCGATATTTACAGGTTTTTACCTTAATATGTTAAATTTGGTTAAATAGAGACAGAAAGTGAAAGAATATATAGAGGTTTGTTTTTGGCTTAGAAATTATTATTAGCTCTAGAAAGATATTCTTATCATTCATTTTATAGTGGGCTACCGTGTTCAGAAAGTCTGTTCGTTCAGAAGTATACAGGATTTAAAAGAAGCCATTCATATTTGTGCTATTTCTCATTCGGCCCAAGAGCGGCCAAGTAGTAAAGTCCCAGAACATTGGTAGTTCTGTCCGAGGTTCGAATCCCGCGAACGGGCTGGTAAAACTTCTGTTTACCCAGCTGTTTTTGTAGTTTTCTCCATGTGTAACGTGTTAATAGGCGCCAGTATCCCTTAGAAAGTCTTCACAAAGGGATCCCTTCCTTCCGTGTGGTGCCTTAGACCGGAGCACGTAAATAATAATAATAATAAAACCTTTCTCCTCCCCTTATACTATACAACCCAGGAACTTCTGTACGAAAATATACCACTGATAGAACTTGAATGCTTTCCTTTATTAAATCACCAGTTATTTTTATAAGATCTATAAGGTATTTTCTCCCTTTTTTACGTATGTCTTTTTTGTGCAACTGGAAGAAAGCTCGACCCATTTTCGGGAGGTCCGGTGTTAGAATCCTGTCGAGGGCATTGCGGATTTCTCCAATTTCTTTGCTTTGAAGAATTCTAAAAAGACTTTATTGTGGCGCCCGAACCCAAATGGGGTGGAAGATGATTCCTCACAACCAGTATTTGGTGTCTAGACCCTCTAATATTCAGTCGCCCTTTTAAAGTGGGAGTATGTAATATATTTTATCCTTCTTTTCGGTACGCTTTCGTGCTGTAACGAAAGCCTGCTTACGCGTATTCGGGAGGCCCGGATGTCGAATTCCGGTAATGGCATTGCATATTTTTCACGTTGCAGCTTTCATATAACCTAATGACTCTACAAATGAATCCCCAGGCCATTGTTTTCGAGGAACGTGTCACCACCACCAGTGACTGAGTAGGGGCTGGTTTGTGTTAGTAGTTTTTCATATTATTATAATACTAATCTATTCCGTTTTGTGTTTTTGTGGATTTTTCCGTGTATAACATAAATGGAAACGGATTTTTCTTAGAAATGTATTTATGAAAGTTTTCCTTTTTAAGCGAGGTGCTATTTAAATCATCTACCGCGACGAACTCAATTTAACGTAATCAAAATGCAAAATATTTTCTCTAATATATCCTAAAAAAAGAGGGTAAATTTTATGTAGTATATATATTGCAACAAATTTGTGATTGTTAATGTGTTAAATAGGTACTGTAATTATTTTTTTTTAGCATAAAGCAAAAATTTGTATGATATTGTTTTAGGAAAGCAATGTAATACATTTTTAAACTTCGCTTTTTTAAACTTTTATTTAACTTCGCTAAGATATACTGAATTCATTAAGAAAATTTGAATGCAATGTTTTATGATATATATATATATATATATATATATATATATAAACATCAGCTGTATATTAAGATTATTCACCCCGTTAATGTTAATCTCGAGATATTAATCGATCATGGCGTGTTTTTGAGTCGATCTCGAGCTATCATTTTCGATTTCATTAATTAATGTGTTTTAGTTCAGGCGAAAGAATGTTTTAAACAATGAAATTATTTATTAGAATAATAGATTAACATAATTCAAAGAATCGGATACATTCGAGGCTTAGATTTAAGTCGAGCCATTAACTCAAGACTGGAACCATAACTTGGAATCCTCATAAAGTTCAATGAAAATGGATCTTCTCCGAACAAGATGCATGAGTTAAAAAAAACTACACCGTCACTTATTTATAATTTTTAGCATCATTAAAAATCACAGTCATACTTACTCTAGATTGAAAATTCGAGCAGGTTTAAAAAATTTAAAAAACTGTAATAAACACTGAATTTCCTAGCTATTTAAATTAATAATGCGCGTAAATTAATTTGTTAATTAATTTAAAATTTCAGCCCAAGAACACACGAATCTTGAATATCCTTTTTTTAATTATTTAGCTAATTAAGTTGTTGAGAACTGAAAAAGTGTACAAAGAGTATCTGAGTCATTAAGTATGAATTTATGTGTTTCAGATGTGACATCAGTTGATGTGGTGAGGATGCCAGAGTCACCAAGCGCGGTGAAACAGCAACTGGCGGCGCCATCTAGTGGCAGAAGCTCCGCTCCCATTTCTTCTCACAAAATTAGCTCAGGTATGCGCGTTCATGACTTTTCCTTAATTTTGTAATGAAAAAATAAAAACTCTTTCTCACGTTAGGGTTAATTTGTTATGAAGTGGATTTATTTGGTCTTGCAAAGTTCATGACCTTTAACTTTTGGGGTTTTACTCGAATTGGAAATGTTAATTTGATCTAAAACTCCTAACAAACGTGAAACAAATTATCGCTATATATGAAGTATCTATACTGATAACTGCTATATCTGAAGTAAAAGTCGTTGAAAGGTTTAAGTAACCTTTTTAAACAGACTTAAAGACGAGAGAGTGCGATTATGAACGCACTCTCTTGTACTAGCAATACCAGTCACAGTTCGTGGTGACACAACTAAACAAGAAAAGTCAAATTTAAGTTAAACGTTTAGCAGTAATCAGAGACTATACACTTTAAATAATACTCAAAGCTGGCTCGGTGATTCAGCCAGGGCGTCGAAATTAAATTGTCGCCAGCGATTATAACGCAAAACCGAATAATTACAACAACCAGAGCTGACAGGAACTAAACGTAGCTTGCACGAGCAGACAGAAAAACGCTTGTTTCTTACTCCATAAACAACAGTTTAAATATTGGATATCTCATTTACATTCTCGTGAAGAATAAATAAAGGATAGTCAAAGAACATATCCAAATCATAATAACTGCTCAGTTCTAAACAATAATGTTGCAAAACTGCAGCAGAGCTAATCGGACATAGATCTGTGAGATCGGATATGTTGCAAATGCGAGTAAATGTAACACGTTCCGGACAGCTCCCGAAGCATTAGTTAATTTTATGCGTAAGTACATGGAACGTGTCCTTTACTTTAAGGTTAAAGGAGCCCCAAAACATTCAAGTGATATGGACTGTCCTTCACTGGTATGAATCATTTTTTTTTTCTTTGAACGGAAGCTACACTAAATGTAAGAAATAGTTTTCATGGCTAAATTGGTTAATTAAAAAGGTGTTTACTCGCTTTTAGAATGACTTCGGGCCGTTTAATGAATGCTTAAAATGTAAAGAGTATTTTTTAAATGTTCTGTCTGATGTTCTTTTTAACGAACTGCATCGTAATTTCCATGAAAGAAGGCATTTTGTAAAATTTCCAGGCGCATTGATTTCCATTGTCTTCAACTACTTTCCAAAGTCCATGAGTCGTGGTGGGTTTGCGCTTAAAAAACACTTTTCAAGAGACCGTAGCCACAAGAGTTCATAAGTGGAACGTCGAGAGCCTTTACAGGAACATGTTGAAAAGGACACATTGTTAAAGTTGTAAATGTTGATTTGTTATTTTATCTATTGTTACTGCAGATACATTAAAGAATTTTGCAGTTGATTTCTGCATCGGCGGACTTTCTGTAGTTACCAACAATTTAAATTTCAAAACATTGCCAGGCCGAACTACTTTCAGCCACTGGTGAGTCATCGCAATGCAGACCAGGCTTATGGGTAAATGCGATCTGTATACACAAAACTGCAACCTATTCTTAAATGAATAACTTCATGTATAAGGTCAATCATATATAAGGTCGGTCGCCTTCTTAGCATTCCTTCGTGGTATAATGGCCAGCCTGTATTCAAGAGCTCCGTGGTTCGAGTCCTGGAGAGGGCATTGCTCATTTTTCACGTCTCCTGCTTCGAAATAACCTAATGTCTGTACAGTTGCGTCCGAAATAAAAGGTGGTGAATGATAACCCTTCACTACCAGGATTTGTGTATTTCTCCCGCCTTTTTAGCATGCCTTGGTGTAGTGGTCAGCACGCTCGACGCGTATTCGAGAGGTCCGTGGTTCGATTCCCGGCGAAGGCATGGCTCATTTTTCATCTCTCCTGCTTCAAAATAGCCTAATGGTTCAACACATGACGTATTTCCTTTGAAATTAGTAGGACAACTGCTTTGTATAACACTAAATCCAGGATACATTGAGCCCAAACCAGCAGAAGTGAGTCCCTTCGTTAAGGAAATATAACATTCTTCCTCTAAATCTTAGTAAAATTCTTGCAATTTGTAACTTTTTTTTTCATTTAATGTAAATCAAGTAATTACTTTATAAATAGATACGGAGTGGTACTAATGTAAAACAATCATTTTGTGAAATGCTGTATATTAAGCACTTTTAATTTATCTTCGTATTAACTGAGTCAAAACTGACTGCAACTGGAGTAAAGAAAAATCACAAAATAACGTTTTCAAACATATGTTTGATTTCCTGAAGAGAAATCTCAAATATGTTTCTAAAATGATCGTTGTACACAGAGAGACATTTTATTTAAAAATAAAATATTGTCAGGGAATTAACCAAAAAAAAAATGCTAGATATATCTCCATCACTAATCACAAATTTTGGCGATGGTCCAATAAATACGTAGGTGTTTTGGACAATATTTACCAGACAGTATGGAGGAAGAGAAAGAGAAACATTTGGCAAATATGCTGCTGGAAACTGGGATGAGAACTCTTTGTTTCCACCATGCTTCAAATAACAGTTCGGCAGATGCCAAAGTTGCAAAATCCTCTGATTCATGAAGTGGCGGCAGAGAGTTCAGGTTGCTTTCATTGAGTGATGTAATTTATTATTTGGATTCAGAACATAAAACGTGCGGATGGAAAGAAACTGTTACCGTAGTTAGAGTTACTGGCGTTGATGACGAAAGCAGTGAGTGGGCATGTGAAGACTTCCTCTGACCAGTCACTCTCACGCGGATCAATGAGAGAATGGTGGAAAACACTTAAGCTCCAAAACTACTTCGAAATCCAATCTGGTGTTAATCATAAATAAGGCGAAAGGTCTCAGGTAACTAATATGTTCCATCTTTTAGCAATTTTATTTACTACAAGTCATTCACAGCAACTGACCTAATGTGCGACGCCCTAATTCTTTTTCTTTAATTTAAAAAATTTGAATAGCCTATGGTTTATAAATCTGTATTATTGTTTCGGTAGATTTTCATGAAAGTATTATAATATTCATCAGATGTCAACTTATAGTTTCAGATGTACATGTATTACTGACTCTGTGTTCAATCAGACATATATGGTATCGTCGATGTGTAAACAGTGACTGTCTGATAATAAGGGGTAAATTAAAATTTGTTCAGTTTGGGCAAAATATCTTTAATTCGAAATATTTTCATTAAAATCTGCTTTTGCGTTTTTCCAGAATTTTGCAGAAATAATTTCATTTCATACTAGATTTCTGATTCCATATGGAAACCGTGTAAATCTACATTAGGACGAAGGAAAAATAATTGTACAATTCTAACAACAATAATAAAAGTCTTCTAAAAGACGCTAAAAAGGGTCACGTCCATACGTGATTCTGTAGTAAATAGCAAAAAAAAAAATATTCTTACGATTTTTTTCAATTCTTACTAATTTTTAATCTTTGAATGTTCTCTTTTGCTTCTAAATATTGCAGAATTGCCTTCAAACTCTCTTTCCTTTCAATTAAAATACCAAAAGATTTGTTTCGATTCATAAGAATATGACGTCGTACGATTTGATCGAATTTCAACTTCCGTTTCTCCTGCGTCTTACTCTGAAAGGAATGCGAAACAAATGCAATGAGTAGGGAAAAGGTTCCAAAATTAATATTTTTATTAAAATTTCATCGTTGTTTCAGGTAACGTTTTATCTGCTTTTGCTACGGGAACTGTGTTGAAATTCTGAGCGCTTGTTGGCCTATGTTCTAGCTTAGTCCACTTTGTATATACATGAAAAATTTTCAATCTATTGGTCGACTGGCGTTCGCATGATTGCACACGAAACATACAGACAATTTCTTTTGTTTCGCATATTAGTAAAATTAGTATGATGATTGTACAGTTGCTGATGATCGTTTTATAGTTTGTGATTGTCTTGTTTTATTATCGCAGCGCAAGTTATATGCATTAATAGTGTCACGAATTTTGTATATATGTAAATAACTTTAGTGGACGTATAATATTTTTTGCATAGTCTAATATGATATGCTCGAAAGCGACGAAGGGATGCCGTAAAAATAAGATAACAAGGGTAAGTCTATTTAACACTGAGTTAAATGGCTATCTGGATAAATTGGCGAGATACCGCCAACCTGGCGACAATTTTGGCGACTATTTGGCAAAAAATTGCCAACACTCGTCAAACTTGGGAGCTATTTGGCTACATTTGCGTCAGGTCCCTATATAACTGTAATTGTTCCTGTATGTAACTGTAACCGTATCCGGCCCTCATTAGCCTTCCGGTAATTTCAAGAAATGAGAATTTAATTTCGAGAAATATTAGAGATTTCTCGGTTGCCTGGGGAAAATGTATAAGACTGGAGAGAGTATAAGTTTCTCAGTTGTTTAGTTCAGCATGAATTCGAAGTACCGAGATATCTCCGTGTTAGTTTCACCCTTTAGATGCGCTTTTCACTACGTTGTGTTTAATGTTCTGAGTAGTAGTAACTGATTGTACTCTGTGATACCGAAATGATCTGTACGATTATTTTTGTGGAATGCTCCAGAACTGTAAAATATTTCTTTTGATAAATGATTTTTATCAAGCTATCATCGGTTCTTTGTGCATTCAGTTTAACCGTACCCGTGCGCACTCAACAAATTGACTGAATTTAATAATATGAATATTACTCGTAATTTGAGTCCTTTATGGATATGAAATTGATGCAAAGTCCAAATACCATCCAAAATCCTTTTATATCAAATCCAAAAATTTTAAACATATATAAATATAAAAAACTGCCTGTATTGCATACACGTAATTTTGTAATTGAAATGAAGTTTGATGTAAGAAAATCTGTTTTTGTTTCGCTTATCTTATAACTCACGTTTCCTTTTGCTTTCAATACTTATCTTTCTTCAGGACAAGTAAAGAAGAAATGAAGTAAAATGATCTACAGTTACAGTCTTGTTAAAGATCTTAACAGATCTAAATTCCTAGATACCTCTTAATATTTAATGAAGTAACAAGGGTATGCAGCATTGTAAAGGATATTTTAATTTCTTTTTCTTCTTTTTGACGATATGCATTCGCAGCACATTTTCTCATCTATACTTTTAGCAACCCATTCAATATTCAACCGTCACGCAACAGATTCATGTTACAATTCCCACAGTTTCCCGTAATACATAGAAATAAATTTTTGAACTAGTTTTAGAAAGGGAAGATACATCAGGAAGTAAATGTACTGTAACATCAGGTGTGGTCTACCTTAACTAGCATGTAAAAAGGATTATTGACGTCTTTTTATCAAAAAATATCGCAAAAGCCTTTCAGAAAGGTATTAAGAATATGTTTTGTTATAATAGATAATTTGGTACGATGTTAGTTTACCAACGGTTGGTTCATATAAAATATCATTCAAACTGTATGGAACATGTTAATGTCAATATTTAAAAGCAAATAATGTAAATTATTGAATTAAATCTAAAAGCACGCTTTCAAAGAAAAAATGATTGTCTTCAGCATTGTTTGTTTGCGATAAAATATCTTCCTTATTTGGAAACATAGGGAAAAAATATTGTTTTTTCGTGTAGTAGTAAGTTGCAGTGCAGTAGTAGTATTTTGTTAAAGTATTTGATGAAAAATGGGGAATTTAAACTACTTTAGAACTTTAAGACACTTTATATTTTTAATGTCACTATCATTTAAATAGGCAAATGTGGGCTGCATTCATAATTTTAAATCGATATGGCATAAACATGCAATCGTTTGACCAGTTTAACTAAGTACAGTTTATCAAACTAACGAATAAATGCATTTAAAATTAGGCAAAAATGCGAATTTAGTTTGTAGTAGTTTCGAATAAAACTGTATCGATTTTATATACAAAGTATTTTTCTTTTAATTTTTTATGCATATTATGTTAGACATTTGCGTTATAATATATTAAAATTAAATAGAAACGGAAAATGTCTGAAAATATAAATAATTAAGTGCACTAGAAACTAAAAATATGGGAGTACTTAGTGTGCATAAGTCAAATTATTACTAGCCAATGAAATTATTCAACTCTATATTATGTACTTGTAAACGTACAAGTATTATTAATGAAATTTTATTTTTTATTTAAATCTGTGTTAAAAGTAATTTAGGAAGTAAATATTAGCAATTTACTTACTTTCAAATGCTGCATGTAAAATAAAACCGACATGCAAATACAACAAATCGTTTTGTAAGTCGAAAAATCTTATGTAGATAACTATGTTAGTAGTATGAAAGTATCAAAAATTTCTTATTGCAGATGAAAGCTATAATTTACTAATAATTTCTTGTTTTGTTGTTATATGATATAATAAATTACTCTATTAAAATGAATTTTGGTGCAGTTCATTGATACTGTATATTTAATTAAATTCATAGTAAACATTAAAGCAAAAAAGAGTTTCTGTCCATTTTATGTTTTTATAATTAAGCATGCAGTTAAGAAAGTATTATTCATGTAGCTAATTTGCATGAAACGTCCTTGAAAAAATTATATCTAATAACCTACTTTATAATATATTTATTAACAGCATTTTTTTCAGTTATGCTACAAGATATTTTCTCTCTCCTTTGCGCATGTCTTCGTGGTGTAATCGGAGCACACTCGACACGTGTTCTAGAGGTCAAGATTTGAGTCCCGGCAAGATATTGCTCATTTTTCAGGCCTTCCGCATAAAAAAAACCTAATAGCTCTATAGAGGCGCTAGAATTAAAAGTTGGTGGACAATTATTGGTCACCACCAAGATTTGGCAATTGGGTCCCCTTATCTCCAGTTGCCCTTTAAAAGGGGGAGTATATAGGGTACCAGAAGTGGGCGCAGCCCGGCTTATATAAAGTATTTTTTTCCTCCTTCGTGGTGTAACGGTAGCACACTCGAGGCGTATTCGAGAGATTTAGGTTCGAGTCTCGGTAAAGGCATTGCTCATTTTTCACGTCTCCCGCATCAAAATAAACCTAATGACTCTACAATACTTATCACTTTTCATTAGCTTTGATAACATTAATTTTCACTGCCCAATTACTTTGCTTGTTGAATGTGAATATCTTTCTTAATGCACATGAATTATTGATGTATTTATCATTAATAAAATTTTAGGTATGAACGGGGCTCATTCGCCCCATTCAAGCACTCCGTCGGGACGGACTCCTTCACCTCCTGGAGTTGCTACATCTGTGGTAACGCTACCAGTTGCAGCCCCTCCAGTAAACGGCCCGCCTGACTTGGGAATAGGAGTCAACGTTCGACCCCTTAGCAAGCTGAAACGATTCTTGACAACTCTGCAACAGTTCGGAGCAGATATATCGCCGGAAACGGGAGAGCGAATGCATGGGCTTATACTTGGGCTAGTGGTACGTATTTCCAATATAAACTGCGATTATTTGTAATTAATATTAATCTATTTGTAATATTAATATTTTGTTTAGTTAGGTATTTTCATAACGTATTTTGTAAAAGAATTTTAGGTATTTATGTATTAACTCAGCCATCTTTTCCCAATTTGACGATTTTTTAGAGACAGAAAGAGTGACTTGTTCTTGTAAAAAATAGCCCCATACATTCTTTTGCTTTAATAAAGCATTTATCTTAAAAATAAATCATATACGTTAAACACTGCACCAATAAATATGGGGATTTTGTTTCTCTTAGTTTGGTAGAAACAAGGGCATTACTTCACTTTATTAATTCTGCAGGAAAATAATGCTTTTTACAAGGATTTTATGGCAGTTTCTTCCACTGCAGTAGCACATATTTCAAAACTGGATTAAAGACCAAAACATATTGATATTTGTTTACAAAAACATTTGAAACTTGAAATGGAACAAAAAGAACGAAGAAAGGAAAAGAAAAACTGAAGAAAATGCTTGTCAAATTGATTCCCAAAGCTTGGCACATTTTGAAGGTGGTTGGAATGTAACGTCAAGTTTTTGTTCTTTGTTATCATAAAATGTACGTGACGTTGAAAGACTGTTCACTGAGTTATCTTTATAAGTTATCACTGAGTTATCTTTATAAGTTATCACTGAGTTATCTTTATAAGTTATCACTGAGTTATCTTTATAAGTTATCACTGAGTTATCTGTATGAGTTCACTGAGTTATCTTTATCACTAAGTTAAGTCTGAACGTACTACAAAATCAGGAGAAGGGTGTATGGAATCCCTTATTAACTCAAGTTTAACAGTCGGCACCAAATGGTACTTAATCAACAAGTACACCAAATCAACAAGTAATGGTTAAACGTAAATTTGATGAAAATATGTACAGCCTAATGACTTCACAGTTTAACTATCGTACCAGCTGCGTCTGACTGAAGTCCTCTTAAACGCCGCAGAATTCTAAACAACGTTGGAAAATCAAGGTTAGCAATGTGGCCTCAAGCAAGCAGAACAAGCTCTGATTTCACTCGACCAAACCTTCCTTTATACTTCCTTCTTCTTACTTAATATGAATATCGCGCATGTTAGAGACTTCGATTCTGGCATGTGGCTTGATGGAAAAGGTAGTTTAACTTAAATTAATGGGTTAGAAAATCAAATGATATTTTACAATTTAAGCACTATACTGAATGCGGAATAACCGAAGTACTGAATTACATTTGTATTTATTTGTTATTTTAGTGAAGAAAAATCTGAATCGAATATTTTAAGTGCATTTTTTAAAATTCTTATCATATGAATTATTTTTGCTCTTATTTCATGAAAAAAAAAAAAAAAAAAAAAAAAAAAGCTAAAATATTTAGTGCTAATTTTTTCTCCCACCACGAAATGATTTTTCCATTGTTGTATCACATACTCTAGTTGAAAAGCTCACAGTTGTAGAACTGTAAATTATAAAACTTCACATGCAAAATGCATGAAGTAGCTCCACCTGTCGTAAATTTTAAATCGAATACATGATGTTTTGACTATTAGATATTTTTCTATTTTTATAAATTCTCACAAAATTAATTTATTTCGTGTGTACTAATTTTTAAATAGCTATTGGTCTCTATGTATTATCTAAACAACACAATGTTTGCATTAAATAATATTAATATTCGAAAAACAGTTCACTGAGTAGTGTTTTCTTTGAAGTGCATCTGTAACTATAACCAGTATACATTATAACTGTGTTTCACATTAGACATCTTATCAACAGTTTGAAAAAAATATTATTTCCTGTAATTAATGTTATATTGTACCTTCATATAACTTAAACAATATGACGATAATCTTAAATTACCTTTCACTCAGTATTTATTATAACCCTTTTGTCTTAATTAGTTTTCGCACTAACTCTATTAGTTTAATGCAATAAACCGAATTAAATTTGGAACTATTATTAACTAGTGATACATTACAATTAATATATCTATAACTGTGTTAATTTACAGTTTATATTAGTTACAATTGTAATTATTGGAACATGGAGTTACGCTAATTGCGTAAGCAACCTGATCGATACTCAAATATGAATATGAAATAAAAATTCTTAAATAATAATAAAAATTCTTAAATTAGAAATTCTGTACTGTGCGAGTACGTTCTTAAATTTAAAAATATTCTAGGAATTTGAAAGACTTCCCCAAAAATAGAAAGCAGTGTAGTGCTCAACTATATTGCAGTCACTTAAAACTCAACCGTAAATTCGGTAAATTTTATTTATTATATAAAAATTTAAAAAGTAGGATAAGTTCATAGTTTTGCTTCTTACTTAAACACAATGACAGTTTGAAATTACAATCCTGTAGGTTGTAGTAAGACAAAATAATTAATTATAGCTTACTGCAAGGTTATATCATTCAAATTAATTACTCATGATTATCACTACTATAAAAAGATGAATTGACTTTTTAAGCATTAAAACACTAAAACATTATGAAAAAGAACTTTTAATTTCAAATTAAAATCTAAATGTCCTTGCTACTTATTTAAGTTTTTTAATAACTATATTTTGATACCTGAAATTCTTTTTTACAGCATTGTCAACTGATTAAAAGATTTTTTAGTTGAATTTGAAGAAATTTTTATACCATTTGAAATATGAAACCCTCTCTGCTTTTAGTTCGTATTACCCATAAAATTTTATTTATTTAGTACCTGTGGTAATTTAAATTCATTAGAATTTAATCTTGAAAAAAAATATTGTTTATATGTTTTGAAATAAAATGAAATTTTTGAAAAATAATTTAAATTTATCCCTAGAGTTCTACTTTACCAATCGAAGAATTCCATCAGAAAGTTCAAGATCTAACAAATTATCCTTTAAGACCATTTGTCGTCCCATTCCTGAAGGTAACACACTGCTATTTTTTACTTCAATATTCATCTTGATTTTCTAGATTCTCATAGAAAACCGCAAATAGTAGTGCCTCATTCAATTTTTGTTTGAGATTACAACGTAACAAAATGTCTTCCTTTACTTATTTGATAATGCAGCAGAAGTCTAATAAAAGCCTACATTATTCAGCCTACATTACATAGATTATTCGTAAGAGATCTAAACAGGTTGAACATTTTTTACGATTTAGAATATAAACGTGGAAGCACATTTAATAGATTTTAGTAATCAGAAAACTGAAGCGAATTTATGTAAATAATTTATTAGGAAATTTGTGTGTTAATACTTAGATTATTATTTACTTCTTATATTTATGCCATAAATAACCACAAACACTGGCTGGTTAAAAGAAAAGTAACTAATGAAATGAACGATTTTAAATACCTAAACCTGGGATTGCCAACCCTATGCGCGTGGGCATTATGGATCTCTATGACAGTTTAACGTGTGCACGCCGCTGTGCGATCACAATAAAAATGTTTTAGTTTTCAATGAAATTCTATGTGAAAGTTTTCTCATTTTTAATGAAATAGAAATTGCGTCCAACACAGATACCAGTACAAAGCGAAATGCAACCGATCTCTTTTTCTATGTGCATGTATTTTTAACTCTATCCAACTATAAATTCACCGTGAAAAAATAAATGGTGTCTGCCGTCCAACAGATATTCTAGAATGCGCTCTTAGGGACAAAAAGGTTGCGGATCCTTGAGTTAAAATTTACAGGAATAATTTTCAAATATTTCCTCGATTTAATGTAAAGTAATGAATGTAATTAGTTAAATATTCAACAAATTTATTTGTTAAATTTTTAAAGGAGCAGTTACTTTTTAACCTGCCGATTTTCTTTCGCCAAGAGAATTTTGCTTTGGTGTTTTCTAGAAACTCTTTTTACTTTGTTGCTTTAAAATGGTTTTCACAAATTCTTGTCGTGCAAAATCTGTAACTGCAGTGTTCAAATCGTATTTGATCGATCATAAGTTGACACTGATTATAAATTGTCCGCACGAAATAGAAAACGGAAAAAATATTAAATTAATCCCACTAATTCCTTTAAAGATACAAATTCTAAATCTATAAGAGTTTTTAACCACGAATAAAGTAACAAAAGTGTCAGATTGCGGTTGTGTAAATTCGGTATTTGTTTTGGAATTTTATTTAATGTCAAAATAAAGCAAGAGTTCTCGAGATGGAAGAGTTGGCTTTAAAACTATACAGCGGCGTAGGCAGGTGTTTAAAAATAAGATTGAAGAAAAGACAATCCTGAATAATAGGAAGAATACATTGGTTAACTATGAGAGGTAAAAATAAATATGCAAATTTTTCAAGATGCAATGCTAACAGCGATTCCATTTTATCAAATCATTGGCATTTTCCATTTAATGCTAAACTATTTAATCAAAGGCACCTCATTTAATGAAAGCTATTGTTTACCCAAAAGCAATTGTTCACCCAATTTTATAGCAATATGAAACTATTTTAGTTCGAATAGTACGTTGATGTTAGTCAATAGAAAAGCGGACATGAAAAAGAAAACAACCCCCTCCCCCGAAAAGATCATGAAAATGATTAATGAAAATTTCATCGAAAGAACCTAACATTTTGCCTATCAAATTATTCAGAAGCAAAAATATCAAAATTAAGTGTTCGTATGAGGGAAGATTTTATACTAAGGAGATGGCACCAAAATACAAAATAGGTCAAGAAATTCAAACAAAAAACTGTTTCAAAATTGTTAAATAATCGGTCCTATTTGGGAGAGAGCAAAACATATCATAGATGGCGAATAGCATTTAATATTCAAGTCTAAGGGTGTCACTAAGTATTATTATTCAACTATTTTTAACACTGCTTCTATGCACTTCAGGATAAAATTTAAAGAAACATTCTCGAAAAAAGTGACGGTATGGAGTGCCATAGAAGATGAAGGCAATATTTCTAGTAAAACGTAAATGAATACTTTTATATTAATGAGTGCATTAAAATGAACAGATTATTTAAATCAAACACTACCAAAACAAACTTTATTTACTGGAAATGTAGTTGAGAGTACAATAGTTGTAGCAGTTGCCCCAAAATTATAAAAATTCACGTTTACATGACAATATCGTTAATTCGAATTTATTATTCTTATTCTGCTTATCCCTTTCTATTATGTCCACTTTAATTTTAACAAAACTTCAATGAAATTTTATACGCTTTTCTTATTGTACAAAAATCAACAAACATTTTTTCTTTGCTTATTTAAACTAAAAATTTGAAATTGATCATGCAGATAATTTCACATTTTCATTTACTGAAATAATATATTTCGATTAAATAAATGAAACATTTTTCAGTCCAACCTGCCATTACTGCATGCAGAACTTCTCCATTTCGCTCGATTGGCCAAGCAGACGCCTCAGCAATATATCAGGCAACATGAGCAGCTAATCATAGAACCAGGCTCCCATGCCAGTGGAGAGGCCTTCGAAATTTTCCAAACGGATGCCAAAGAAAATCTTAAAAGGAGAACCCCACCGGAAACGTAAGTACTACAATTTATGTGGTGCAAATTAAACGCAGTTTTCCGTATCGTGTATGTGCATTTTAATTCGAATAAAATATGATGACATAACTGATTCTATATTATAAGTTTTTATAGGAGCACGTAAACTACCATGTGGTGTAGTAAGTCAATAGATACTAATTCAGAAGTCCAACAACAAAAATCAGCGTTAAATTTTCAAAATTTTCTCAGGACTAGTTTCGATGGTTTTACCGAACCGCCATCCTCAGCTGCAAAACCGCAAATGAACAAGATAGGAAATAATGATTAGATAAGATAAGAAAGCCTGGACAGGAATAAGCAAGTGGCGCCATCTGTTGATGAAACCAGAACTAAAACATATTTCTTTAAAGGCCGAAGGCAAAGATGGATTGGAATTAGGATCGTTAACTAGAACAGAAAGATTTTTTATAATGTGAAATGCCTCTAGAAAATCCAATTCTCCACAGGAATTCATATCCGGAATGGGGTCCTTGAGTATGGAACTCGGAATTTTATTGATGGGAGAATACACAACCCGAAAATTAATTTATGCAAAATATGTGCAACTTTATAGCTAATTGATGGAAAGGAGGGAATGACAACAGAATTTTTATAATCTCCTAAAACAAGAGTGTGCCTTTTAGTGTGTTGAGATGAGAATTTTTTAACTGCTTGATTAATAATGTTGGGTGAAAAGCCCCTGTCAGTTGACTTCTGAATTAGTATTTATTCGGCGTGTTATTGCGTCTTAATTAAGTCAATAGATATTTAAAGGACCGCATGTGGTATTCTGCATTAAATCGGTTTTTATTGAACTGGCTGTGTCATCATATACATATTATTCATTGTATTAGCGTATGTATATCTATAAAATACGTAAAAGCTCCGTAAACTGTAATTTCAAAGCAAGAAAAATCAGCTTTTTGCTTTTTTAGTAATAATGTCTTGACTATACAGTGTACCCTTACCGAGCGCGAGGAGTTACGTAATTAACTCACACTTTTGGGAAGCGTACATTGAGTCGAGATTCTGAAGCGAAGCCAAGCGACTTAGTGACTTATCGCTCGCTAAGTCCAGTTAAAAAAAAAAAAAAAAAAAAAAAAAAAAAAAAAAAAAAAAAAAAAAAACAGAGAGTTTAAGAAGGTTGCAAAAGACAGTTTTACTAAGAAATCAAATAATCAAACCGAAGGCACTTCTTATGCTTTCCAAACCAGCTAGCATTTATGGGATAACTCAAAAGTAAGGAATACAAAATAAAACTAAGTTACATCTTAACGTTAGGCCAAAGGCCACACAGAAATGATTAATGTTCAAGTTCTCTTAAATCTATATTAGCGAGACAAGTACTATTGGCAAGAGTAGAGCAACGCCGAGACAATGCTATCTTAGGATATCAATTCGTAACGTGACCTTCAACAGGCGAAACACGCTCTGTCTAAGCAGTCTAAAACCTGCCTTTAAATACAGTCTTTTTCTATTTTATTTGAATTATACGCACAAACTAAAATTAGCATTCTGGTAGGAAAATGGAAAAAGAGAAACAACAATGTATATTCTAAACATAAAATTGTAGAGACATTAGGATTTTTTAAAGCTGGAGTGATGAAAAAATTAGCAAACGCCTTCGCCGGAAATCGAACCACGGACCTCAGGAATACCGGCCCACCGTGCAGAACCACTACACCACGAAGGCACGCTAGGAAGGCGGGAGAAATACCTTATATACTCCCCTTTTTAAAGGGCGACTGGGATTTTTAGGGAACCCAATCGCCAAATCTTGGGTGTGGAGAGTCCTCATTCAACACCCTTTCAGTTCGGGCGCCACTGTAGAGACGTTAAGATTTTTTTAAAGGAGTGATGAAAAATTAGCAAACGCCTTCGCCGGGAATCGAGCCACGGACCTATGGAATACCAGCCAGGCGTGCAGAACCACTACACCACGAAGGCACGCTAGGAAGGCGGGAGAAATACCTTATAAAATAAATAAATAAATACTTTACAAATGCATTGCATTTACAGCAAAATCGCGTTCCATAAAGTTAACTTTCTATTGGAAAAATGTATTAGATACGTTCAGAATAAGAGAATTTGTATAATTTAAACAAACATAAATATTTTTGTAATAAAAAGGAAAAAAAAAACCAGACAAATGTTAATTGAAACGATTTTTATTGCTGCTTAAAAAGTAAGTGAGGCAATTATTTAAAAAAAGTTTAGGATTTTTGCTTGGAATATTGACTGAGGTAACTTTTGAAAAGTTTCGTACTAAAAAGAACAGAGCTTTTAATGCCCGTCATAAATTGTCTTTCTTTCTTCATTTGGATCAGTCTTTATTTCAAAACTGATAAATCCTGTGCTTGTTTTATCATTTCGTTTAGCTTCTTGTAAGTTAAAGTTTCTTTAACTTAGAAGTTAGTTAGTTACTTTTAGTTCTTCATTATTAATGCTTTGACAGCTATTATGCAAGTATCGGCCACTAGGGGACCTCCCCAGCATTGCTTTAAAATTATACTAAAGACATTTAACTAATGTCGAAAAATGAATATATTGCGTGCATAATTAAATTTCAAAATTGCTGTAATGTCTTTTCTAGACGTTCCAGAGAGAATGGCTACTCAGACAACAGCTCAGATGGGCCTCCGCCTGCCAAAAGACAGCAGACTCTGCCTAGCCCCACACTCGGGGCACGAATAAGTCCCGCGGGTGCTCCCAATCACCTGCCTCCTAGTCTCAACTTCAGATTTGAAGAAGGTCTGTACAGGGACAGAGAAAGAGATAGGTACGAGAGGTATGATCGATACGACAGAGAGTTGTGCCGGCCATATTACAGTACGTAAAGTTGAAATTATTTTAATCTTTATTATCGTAATAGCTTAAAAGATTTTATTATCAAAATAATAATTTTGCTGTTCTAATATTCATATGTACTATTTTAAGATATCATTATATTTCCCATGTTAGTTAGTTATATTTATATTGTGAAACTATAACATAAATTAAATGTTACATACCCTGCTTATTTTTGAGATAAGCATTTATTATATTTATTCAAAATAATTTTAAAAATATTACGTATAATTGCGCTGTTGGTAAAAATTAAATTTTTATTTCTGAAAAAAATTTTGCAAAGTACGTTAAAGGGAAAATATTTAGTATCGAAAAAATTCAATGGATTTTAAAGTCATCTCGCCTGACGATTCAACAGCAGGCAAGTGTTATACTGTGTGTCAAGTTTTGCAGTCAACGCGAAATAGCACCCATTCAAATGAGCAGTTTAAATTCAGATACCTTGGCCATGTATGTAGCAATTTTAAAAATGTATCGTGAATAATTCCGTAAAACATAAGATTTTAATTTATTGTCTCTATTTATCATATTCACTTCAATTCAATCTCTCTTCCGACTGCAATGCGTTTATGCTGTTTTCACAATCTTGGAAACATAATTTTAAAATCTTTTCATGAAGCCCTTTCAGGATGGATGAATTCGATTTTCTTTTACTGCTTCGATACACTCGAAAGAAAAGAAGACGCAATTTCCCATGCGAGAAGTGTTTACCGTTGCGACAATTTTCCTCGTTAAGTTTGCGCCAGATATTGTCTACTTTTACCTTATATATGTTTATTAATGATTAGTGGAATAATTAGTAATTTTTAATAAGAACGATCTTGCAATAAGTACTTTTAATGTAGCAAATTATTTTATACTACACTTATTTTTTTAATCTATTTTGGAGCTGGAATTCTCAGCAACCCCTGTAGTGTTTGTTTCCTTGCAGTTATCATAGACACACTAAAAAACAAGTTTTACAGTTTTAACTTCGGAATGAAGTTTTTGTACAAATGAAATTATTTGCATCTCTAATAAAGTTAAAAACTTAAAAAAATAGTTAAAAAAAATCGGAATTTTCTAGCATCACTAAAACATTTATGAAATGTAATTTAATAGATGTGCAGATATACGATGAACTAGCATGTGGTACCAAAGAATGTATTGTGTATGGAATAAAAACCAGTTCTCATAAAAAGGGAAAAAGAATTCAAACTTTCTGTTCTTACAATGCATTAATTAAAGCTTGTATGTAATTTTAATTTCATTTAATATTTTCACTTTCTATTATAAATGGCAAAGTACTAGCTAAAAGATTGAAAACGTATACATTTTTGCAAATAACATGACTGTACCACGTTGTAGAATAATAAAGAAACATAAGATGATTCACATTTAAAACATTACTTATCAATTTGATCTAATTAATTCCTTTTATAATTACGTTTATAAACAAACAAAGTAAAATGAATGTATTACGCTGAAAAATTGCATCAGCGCACTGGAAATGTTAGGAAGTTTTAGTGAGAAGAAAATGCAGTTGTCTACCTTAATAAAAAATTGGCCTTAACTATAATGAGTGTTTATTTTTATTTTAATTATGGCAACACACTCAAGGGCTATCTGACTAAAGAAAGGGATGCCTTCTTGGCGGGCTTTCTGAGTAAAAGTGGCTAGTATACACGTTACACACGAGGAAAACCACGAAAACGCCCATGCACCCAGCAATTTCGCTGAGATTCGAACCTCGGAATGAAATTACCAGTGTTCAGCGACTTCACAACTCGGCCGCTGGTACGCCTTTGTGCTGAGAGAGTGGTTGAGTAAAGGAACTCCATTAACGAACTACTAGCGTTCAGTAACTATACAGCTGGACCGCTGGTACACCTTTGTGCTGAGGAGTGTTTGAGTAATTTAGACACATTGCATAAAACTAACATATGACTAATATTTTACATATGAATTATCTAATAATTTAAAAAAACTGGATACTTAAAATTTTTCATTGTAGTATATATATTTGAAAAATATATTATTTTAATATTTTTAATCCTTTCCCTATATGATAATTCAATATGGTAATGTTCAGGGAATTTAAAAATTTTTCCGAATACGTAATGTAATTGTCATCTGTGTAATTATATGAATTAAATGCCTTTATAATAATTTAGAAAGTGGATTCCATTATGTTAGTAACTAAATAACTAAAAAGTATTATTTATTTGATTTCAGGTTCTGTCCATCGTGATTTTCCAGATGACAGAGATATGGAAGACGAGTGGAAGAATATACACACGGTAAGCCTCAATTAAATAAATGTGTTTGATTAAAATAGATCACATCCCACTCATTGCTATGCAAAATATCACAAAACGGTGCTGAAATCCTTTTAAAATTCTATAAAATTTCACGAGAGCCTAATAAACTTTTCTGCGCAGTATTAAATTTCACAAGCAACTTTTTTTAATACCAATATAGAGATGCTGCGAGTTTTATTTAATAAAAATATTTATGAAACTTTCCAATCGACTTTTCTATCCTTAAATACTGTTATTCATTTTATGTATCTGCAATAAGAACGTCAAGTTTTCCGTAACTTTATGAAATACATCCTTAACTCGGCGCGTATGTTATTAATTACACATGGTCATTATATTGTTTTATTTGAAATATTTCTGTGTGAGGAAAAAAAAGGAGCATGTGTAGTTTTGAATAGGATAAATATGCTCTCAAATTACCCCATGCATTAAATTGCTTACTAGAGCTATGACAAAAATATGCTATATTGTTTACCTTCGCTTGTTAGTCATTGTTAAACTAAATAATATATTTTCAATGCTGAAACATCAAAACTTCATACTTGTTGCTTTCAGATGCTCAATTGCATTCTTGGCATGGTGGAGAAAACTAAACGGGCTCTTGCAATCTTACAACACAGAAGCTACTCTGACAGGCAGGATGTCGCCCTCTGGCGAAGTCGACACCTGGACGGGACAGAATTCGATATCAAAAAGAGAGCTGCCGACATCTTACCTCATTACAAAGCCAGTGAAGAAGTCAGGCGAAGGCCGGGTAAGTAATCGAACATGGACTGCTTAGCGTAGATTTATTATTATGTAGATGATGTGTAGATGGGATAAGAAAACCTCTTGCTTCTTGGTGATTTCATACATACTTCATTTATGGGTGTTTTTTGTAATTCCTTTCCACACACTTTAAAAGTGTATTTTGCTCTGCCCTTTTATTTTCCTTCGTGTTAGCTAAAAATCAATTTAAATCCCATTTCAGCGCATCAAAAACGCGAATCTGTAAAAACGCTTTTCGAAAATATCTAGTTTTTTTAATTTTGTAAATTCGAGAAAAACTGAGTTCAAATGGAAAAACTTTATATGTTTGAAATTTTTAATTTTAACATTTGAAAAAAAATATGTATTTTGGGAAACCTGACTCCGGAAAGCAACTTAAATTCATTTAGGTAGAAAAATGTAAAGGCTTGGTTTGGGCAGAATACAGAAGATTATGTAGGATATCTTATCAAAATAATAAATTACATCTTGGTTCCCCACTATCATAATATTGTGTAATCTGTTACTAATAAGCAAGATGTTAATTGCTGCTGATATAGAAAACCAAAATATTAGCATGTATAATATCGTATATTTCGATTTTTTTTTTGGCTTTTATTCTGTTGAGCCTTAACACTGTTTTTTTTTAAATTTTAATTTTAGCTGATTTACTAAATAGTTTTATCTTTAATAAAACAGGATGTATTACTTATGTTGTCTAATTTATGCAATGAGAGAAAAATGAATTCTGTCAAAAATATTGAGTAAATAATAAATAGAATGTGTTACTTATGTTATCTAATTTATGAAATGAAAGAGAAAAATATATTGTATTAAAATAAATATTGAGTAAGTAATAAATAGGATGCATTATTTATGTTATCTAATTTATGCCATGAGGGGGAAAAATATACTCTATTGAAATAAATATTGTCTATTTTATAAAAGATCCGAACATTTTTATATAATCAAAAAGCTCTATTAAATTATTATTTATTGAATTTTATTAGTATTTATTAATTTTTTTATTAATTTTATTTATTATTAAAAATTATTAGTCCAAAGGGATTTGAGTCCCTGAAGGACTATTATATTCGTTTTGGCATTTTGCGTCGGACTCCCATAAATATCGGTTCACATTTCAAACTGTTGCCGCCAAATGTTAGAGTCCTACATTATATTTGAAAAAATTAAATAATGAATAATCTTCATAAATGCATGCATATTTCTCGCATTGTGATAAAACAACGGTATCTAGAGCCATCCAATTTTGAATGACGTAATACTGCTGCGAATATGGGTATCTGAAATCCCAAATTTAATATTTGGTGTTGGTGTATTTAATTATGGCAAAGCACACGAGGGCTATCTGCCTAAAGGGAGGGATGCCTTTCGTGGAGGACTTTCTAAGGGAAACTGGCTCGTATACACGTTACACATGGGGAAAACCACGAAAACGCCCATGCAGCCAGCCCGTTCGCGGGATTCGAACCTCGGACCGAACTACCAGTGTTCAGCGTCTTTACCGCTCGGCCGCTGGTGGGGCCCTTTAATATTTGGAATTTGTTTTATGATCGATTTTTTTATTTTATAAAACTTTAACAAATTTTTGAATAACAAACTCAACGATTTAAAGGAGAGGAGTGACAACACTCTACAGGTGGAAAAAAGACCTTTTTATCTCCAGCGCGTTGAACTGTGTATCGGAAATTCTAGAGATAGGTTTATAAGGTATTTCTGCCGCTTTCCAGCGTGCCTTCGTGGTGTAACGATAGCACGCTGGGCCGGTATTCCAGAGGTCCGTGGTTCGATTCCCAGCGAAGGCGTTGCTAATTTTTTCTCTCTCTGGCTCCAAAAAAAAAAAAAATACCTAATGTCTCTACAGGTTAATTTTAAAATATTTTGCGACATTGCTATTGAACTAAATTTTATGTTTAAGTGCAAAGACCATAAAATTTAATAAATAAAGGTTACCTGAAACATTTTAGATTTTTTAAAATTATTTTATTAATATTTATTAAAAAACAATTTCCAGTAGAGCCTAAAGGTAAAACATAAACAGCTAAAAGTAAAAACAAATGAATAAAATACTATTGAGGTAAAGTTTGCATTGCGAAATGCTTACGCCCTTTTCAATTTTTTCGTCGCAAGATTAACGGATCAATGAGCATACGAAAATAATTTTTTTGTCAGGAATTTTACAGTCCATTGTTTTTGCGTACAATGCATTGACATTAGCTGTTCCAATTATAAAAAGTGTAATTAATTCTAAAACATATAAATATAAAAATGTATTTAAAATCAAGATTGATTTAATTTTAGATTCTTTGTTTCAAAATTATATTTCTTTACCATTTCAGTTTAAAAGAACTTTCTTTAAATGGGGTTTAAGTCTATATTTGGAAGTTTAAATATAAGAGAATTTTAATTAGCACTGAAAGAGCATAAAAGAAAACGAAAATTTTCTGAAATTTTCAAAACTAATATCTAATTATTTTAGATTTACTCGCTATATGTTTTGGAAATTTATATGTTTTAGAGTTTCATAAGTAACTTTTGTTATCTTCCCTCCTCCAGTATCTGAAGGACTAGTGGCACAAAGGCAACCCCCGCTGCTGCCATTGCCAGAAGACGCAGTACACGAAGTGAAGCGACAAGCTGTTGCAGAACTGCAAAAAGCAGTTACAGCTGCAGAGAACAAAGCTAGTGAACTTCTGGCTGCAGAAAGGGCAAAGATGGAACGCATGCTTTCTGAAGCTCGCAGACAAGCCGCTGAAGAAACAATGGCTGCAATAAACCATCAAGATGAGTCTACAGAGGTTAGTTACCCTAGCGATGTTATTATTTTTACTTTTATGCTCTTGCGAGCTCACTTCTGTTGCGGAATAGAACTTTATGTAAGAATTAACAACGTTTTTATTCAGTTCACCAATGAAGCTCGTCGTTAGGAGGACATAACACGGTATTCGTAAGTCATAGTAAAACGCTATAATACTGGCTATTATAATTTTTTTTTTCATTTACTATTTGTAGGATGCGTTTGCATTTTGGGCAGATTAGTTTAGTTTGAATTTTTGTGCATCGCCAGTTTTAAGTAAACGAAAATAAATACCTAAATCTTTTGAGCTATCTTTATTTGTGTTTAAAAAATAAACACACGTAAATACCGCAATCTTTGGCTGCGTTTAATTTATATTTTGTATATTTTCAGGCATTAGGTTTTCACAAATCTGTAGATATCAATACAAAAGAAAAAAAATGTAATTAAATTTAAAAAAGTCCGAAAGATTGTAGGGTTTATATTTATTTTAAATAACATTTATTTTAAGTTTAAACTATCTTTCCTGTCAAGCCTTACATTCCCCTGGAATTGCCAATGCCAGAGTATGTAAATTTTAGTAGAACGCGCAAAGATTAAAATTGTCAGCGGAAGTAATCTGAGTTAAATAGAAGGGAAACAAGTTCGAAAGTGTGCTTTCTTGCTTCACGAGCGCGGAGGTGGCTAATTAGAAATTGAAGAACCACGCGTTTCGGCCTGTGTGCTTGCCTCGGCAAATTGTTAATTTTTCAACGTAATATTCAGAAGTTTGCTGAATTATCAGCGGTATCTTAGAACGCGGTGAGGTTAGTTACGTTTAGAGAGCCTCGTAGTTAGTCACTTGTTACTATTCTTTTCTTAGTTTCTTATTTTTATTTTACCGCCGGGTCGGCGTAGTTTGTGAGCGTCAAGAGCACGCATTTGTAATTTCTAAAGTTGAATAAAAAGGGATTTAAACCCTTCTCAAGACTTTGTCTACTTTCCAGTTCTTAGCAGTCACAACTATTGTTGCGTGCAGGTTGGAAGCGCGCAACATTACAAGCTTTCATATTTTATAATACGCCTAACTAGTTACGCCTAAAGGGGCGTTTTTTAACGGTATGTTTGTTACCTTTATTTATTAAATATCGTATTCTTCGCACTTAAACCATAAAACTCCATTCAACAGCAATATCAAAAAATATTTAGAAAGAGCATATCTTTAGAATATCCGATACACAGTCTCGCCGCACTGGAGATAAAAATGGTTTTTACTTTCGTACAGTGTTTCCACGGCTCGCTTTGAAATCGCTAAGATTGTTAATCAAAAATTCATTAAATTTTTATAAAATAGGAAATCGGTAATAAAACAAATTCCAAATTTGGGCTTCCAGATGCCCATATTCGAGTCGAGGACTACGTTATTCAAAATTGGAAGTCTCTAAGTACCCTTGTTCTTCACAGTGCGATAAACATACACACATTCATGCAGATTCTTCTTTATTTAATTTCTTTAAATATAACACAGAGTTCTAATATTTAGCGGCAACAATTTGAAAAGCGAAATGCTGTTATACATTACGACGCAAAATACCAAAACGAGATTAATAGTTCTTCTGAGCAAATTGCCCCTTCAGGCTAATATTAAGTGAATTAAAATGTATACTAAATTATAATTGTAACTGAAAAGAATTGTAATTTTAGTATTTATTACTCATTCCTTCATTCCTTACTTCCTTTTAGGCACTGGGTTTTCACAAACTTGTAAATATCAGTACAAAAGAAAATAGTAAGAGCATTTTAATTTATACTAAATTCTAGTTCATAATTATAATTAAAATTAAAATTATAATTTTAGTATTTATTAATCATTCCTTTATTTCTTACTTCTTTTAGGCTCTAGGTTTTTCACAAATCTGTAAATGTAGGTGCAAAAGAAAATAGTAACAGAATTTGAATATGTACTAAATTATAATTCATAATTATAATTAAAAACAAAATTATAATTCTAGTATTTATTAATCATTCCTTACTTCCTTTTAGGCACTAAGTTTTTACAAATGTATAGATATCAGTACAAAAGAAAACAATAAAGTACAAAATGGTGGTAAAGCAAAAGGACTGACAACCATCCCCCACAAAAGAAAAATTAACTATCCAACTTAATTTATTTGATTGTAAAACTTATTTATCAATCATTCTTTGCATTATTTTTCAAAAGTTTCTTTATGGTCTCCTCTCTTCCAAATTATCAAAACAATATTTTGCATTTGTATACCTTTAATACTATTCAATTTTTATTTTTCATGCTACATTTTCTTCACTGTAGTGAAATGAAGCCCGTAATTTCATCAGATTATTCTTTTCTTGCTTTAAGCTATTAAATATCATATTTAATTTGCTATCATATTTTTGGCATCTGTGTTTGAATATTTATCGCTTTAAAGGTCAGGTTTATTTAGATTACGGTAATGTACACGAAGACTCTTTGTCTTCTGAGCAGACTGGGATGAAGCTCTTAAAAAGTCCTTTAAGGAAAACTGGTTCGTGTTTTCTCCATGTGCTCCTAAACTCATGGAGAAACCACAAAAATACCCATGCAGCCACCCCGTTTGCCGTAATTTGAAACCGAATCGAGCTTCCCTTGTTTAGGGACTACTCGGGTGCTGGTGCGCTTCACCTTTTTAGAAGTTTCCCGTTGATGATGCAGTATTGTTTGCGCCAGATCTTAATTCTATTTGAATTTTGACTTAAAATATTTCCCAAATGCTCCAAATAGAAATCGCAGTATAAGACTTTTTTTAATCTAAGTAAAATTCAACTTTTGTTTGACATTATTTTTATAGAAAGTTCGATACTTTTCGCTTACAGCGTTTATAAAAAACATTTAGAAATAATTAAAAACTACTTTGTACAGAAGTACAGGTCATTTTATTTTTATCTCATAAAACGTTCATACTAATGCTAAATATTACTTCATTTTTAAATTGAATTTACGAATCATTATACTCTTGCTTCACTTATGCAATATGTTTGTTCACCCTTATTAAAATTTCGTAAATTTATTTTATTGCTGGTTATAACATATTTTGTATTTTTGTTTCCGGAACTCGTCTAAACAGATTTCCAAAATCTCTCTACATTTCCTTCTTTCCTTTAATTATGCATAATATTTTGATTCTGAATCGATTACTAAGCTCATTTCGTAAGTTTCTGTCCAAATTTTAATTCCTTTGAAAGGCATATTTACAACATAAGCATATATTCCTGTCTTCTTTCTTATCACTAGCATCTTCTGTTTGCTGTTCATGACTTATTTATCGTTTCATTTGAAAGTAATAAGAAAATTAGCACATTTATTTTTCCACATTTATGTATTTTTCCGCTATACCTATCCACCCTTTATTTTTCAGTTTGTTTATTTGCATTACTTGGTGCCATCACTTAACTTAGTTCATTTTTCTTTTATCAGTTTTAATTATTTTATAAATTTCTAAAGTTAAAATATTTAAATTTGAAATCTAAGTTAGCCGGGAACTTATACTTCCTTAGATTAAGTAATACGCTAATTGAAAGGGAAAAGCTTCGTAATATAATGACAAAAATTTAAAGTTAACAAAACAAACCTGTAGTTATTAGGAAAGCTTGACGTTTAGAGGTTTTGTTTTCAAAATATTATTGATAATGACAGCTATGACTAGATAAATTAATGAATATAATGCCACATTTACAAAGGAATTGAAGAAGCATTTGATAACTTTCTAACATACGAGCTTGCCGACAGGCTAATTTAAATTTCAATAATAGTACATCAAAGCTTTTTTTTACAAAAAATTTATAAAATAAGTGAAGAATATAGGCCCTTTTAACCCAACTTTTTACTTCCTTGAACTCAGTAAGGGAATTATTGTCATTGCGAAAATTTTCGGGTATCACATTTCAACGAAAATAGTCATTTCAAACCCTCTCAAAACCATCTGAATGAGGTTTTTCGCGTGACATCTGAACGTACGGACAGAATAAAGGACTATTTTTTGCAAATATAAAATCTGCAAATTGGATTTAAAGTGGATGCAGAATAGATGTGTTCCTTGCCATCTGTACGTACGTATGTATTTATCTCGCATAACTCCAGAATGAGTAGTGGTAGAAAGTTGAAATTTTGTATAGGAGACTGCTATAACATATGGTTGTGTACCTCCGTTTCTGCACCAATCGTATATACACACACCTATATATATTTCCACTCTGTTACCTGGCTCGGTGAGCTTAGCTTTTATTCTTGTGTGTTGGTAAATTGTGAATTGCTTTAAAAGTGATTGAATTATGTGGCTTTTATGTTTCGGTTAATGTGCTTATGCCTTTAGTTAATTTTCATGCAACAGTTGTAGGATTATCAAAAATTTAAAAGTTTAAGTGGCGAATTAAGCCTAACGAACTATCATTTGTTTGCATTTGAAACTCAGTAGAACAGTGAATTCAGTTTCTGCACCTTCAATGTCTTTTTGGTGAGTGGGATCAAACGTAAACTTTCAGTTTTGTGCAACGAAAAATCTGCCTTCTTGCCCGCTGGCCGAACTGCTTTTTTTGTGTATAAACTCTAATATTAATTCGAAAAAAAAATTTAATAGTTTTAAATGTATTTGGTGTTTTATGTTTCTCTGTATTTTACAATCTTTAATGAAGATTTTTTAAGTTTTATGTACTTCTGCTTTGCCGTGAAATGTAAACTGAATTAATTACATGAGAAATATATCTCGAATGAAATTCGTGGAAATGAGTTTAAATGAAATGCAGCAAAATATGTGTGTAATTTACTAGGCCATACAAGGAAGTCATGTAACCACCAAATTATTTTGAGTAAGTGTAACCACCTATTCAAGTGTGAATTTTTCCGTCTAATTATAACTTTAATCTTTCATAATTATCTGTATTACCTTTAGATAGCATTGTCTTGAGACTTTTTTGATACATAAGAGAAATGTCTAAATTTTAGTAAAAATTTAAATTTTTTCTCTTTTTAGTTTTACCCTGATAATGGGGCAGCCATCCACTGGGTTGAATTAGCATCTGGGCCATTTTACTAAATCCTTGCTTCAGATTTAGCGAATCCATCCATTATTAAACTGGCTAATTCATTAAATTAACAGAATGGACGTTGCTTTGGTCAGTTTATCTCTTATTTAGTAGTAACTACAGATTCAGAATTTAGGAAAGCAGAATATACTTATTACTTATTTCTACGACTTAGAAGTATACACAAAACTAAACCACGGCTTCAAAATTTCGCTGCAACTTTCAAAGAGTGATTGCAAACTAAATTATCAATAACGGAAATTTTAAAGCATTAAGTAATTGCTAAATAAACCAAAGCATCGTTTTAAATTTGGGTTTGTAGCTTATGAGTTCAAAATAGCTTGTCGTTAATGAGTTATAGAGTCATTAGGTTATTTTGACGCCTTATACACCCTCTTTTAAAGGGTGGCTGGGCATGAGCGGACTCAGTCGTCAAATCGTGGTGGTGAAAAATGATCATCCACCATCTTTTAGTTCCGGCGCCACTGTAGAGTCACTAGATTATCTTGATGCTGGAGACGTTAAAAATGAGCAAAGCCCTCTCCGCGACTCGAACCTGGACACCACGAAGGTATGCAGAAAGGATGGAGAAAATATGTTATAAAGTACGGTATCAGATTGCTTGTGTATGCAGCAATTTCCCGCTAAGCAAGGAAAAAACTGATGCCAAAAATTTCACGCAATCAAAAAGTCTGGCTGCTAAATCGCGTTCCTTTATAATTTCAGGGTAAATATATTTTCATAAATATTCATTAGAGTTGCTTAATTCTGGACAAGACTCAAGAAATAAAACGCAGCAAAATTAAAACAAACTGGTTAAAATAATAGCTTTTCTTTTAATCAGAAGCTTCAGAAACGTAGTCAAATCAGTAAATATTGTTTTAATTATCGGTAGACTACAAGTAAGAAATTTGAAAATTTCAAAATAGTTGGAAACTTATATATTACTTACAATTTTTAATTTTAAGTGCATTTACAGCATGCCTATGTTTTAAACTCATATGTGTTTTACATTTACATGTAAAATATTTGTTCCAAATGAGTAATTTTTATTCTTTTAATCTGTACTTAAAAACTCATTTCTTAATTTAACAGCTACTTATCGTAGTAATAATTGGTACTATTCGGTTTCGAGGGCCGTAAATAATCGCCAAACTATTGTTGATGCCAATGCTACCAAAAATAATTGCAGCAATCCTAATAATTGCTGCAAGAAAGGAAGTATAATAGTAAATAACTATCTAAGATTGATATTTTAATTTAGATGAAAGGTTAATTTCATATAATACTTTTTTCTTATTATAATTTATATAAAAATGGCTGAACATAACTGAATGGATGCCTGCATCGCTATTTCGCTACCGACTTATCTCTAAAGCATAATTTCATCTCGTTGGTTGTTCAAACGTAATTTTTTATAATGAATGATGCCTTTTCTTTGAAAACATTCTCGATAAAGTATCGCTCACTTATTTGTTTCCGCTTTTTTCAAGGGTAAAAACAATTGGATTGTTGTCAATTTTCTTTTAAGTGAAAATAGGTCGATGTGTGCATAGATAAAGTTAAGGGTGTGCGCAGTGCCATTTTTGTGTAATTCTAGGATTTTAAGTTAAAATAGGTCGATGTGAACATGGATACCGATTATGTGCAATTCTTAAAAACGCGTCTGCACTTTAACCAAAATTCTATTGCCGACTTTTCGTCATGGACAATTCCCAAATTGTTAAATCCATAGGATATCCAAAAAAGGATTTAAAATCAAAAAAGGATTTAAAAATTAAACTAGTATTTCAATGGCGTCTTAAGAAATATAGAACTATATAAACTTACGCAATCTGAAATCAGCGCGTACGCTAGATTTGGCTCGCTGTTAAATGGGGCGTTTGCTACATTTGGCGCTTTTACGCATACATTTTCGCTGCAATTTTTTTACGGCCCTCAAAACAGAATAGTACCTATTAATTTTATAATTACTATGGTTATTATTATTTTATAATGATTATTATTTAATTATTATTATTTTATAAATATTATTTTATAATTTGTATAATTAATAAAGCATCCGAAAAAGATGATATTCACTTTTGATTTCTTTCCAGAGTTGCTGGAATTGTGGAAGGAAAGCTAACGAAACTTGCTCTGGGTGTAACATTGCCAGGTACTGCGGTGCTTTCTGTCAGCACAAAGACTGGGAAAATCATCACCGAGCCTGCGGAGCGACATCCTCCAGCAATCATGCATCTCCATCATCGACACCCCCCGTGAGCAAACAGAGCCCTAACCCCCCCGCGAGGACGATTGCCGTCGATGGCCCAAAAGCTGAAGTCAAAAATTGACCGAAGTTACGCTCGTCTTCATTTTTTGCTCGCACCAAAGAATAGTTCCGTCACCAGGGGGCGCTGGTTGTTCGCTGCTCGTCTTGTTTAGCTGTGCGAAAAGTGCAAAGCAATTCAAAAGCTGTAATTCACTAATTTTATGGGCTATGAAAAACTGTTCTTGTAATTTAAATTTCACATTACAAACTGGAATGCAGTCTGCTGTAAATTTCGTGCAAATAATGAGGTATTTTGTTAAGAAATGTTTTATTCTGTGTCTAAAGTTCCTATCCTGGTTAATTTTTAAAGCAAATACGTTTTCATGGCTTTAAACAGTTATTTAGCTACGGTGAAAAAGATCAAATTGGATCAACATGGCATTAATTTGAAAACATTTATAGAAAGGAATTTCAGAAAAATTCTCTAAATATCAACAGACCAAATACATCATTAGGTTTGTATTTCTGGCAGTTATCTGGAATTTTTTATATTTTATTCGTATCTTGAATATGCAATACACTTTTAAGGTCTAGCTACTTTTTTGAAATCGTTGATGTGTATTTAATTCTTTGCAAACTTTATCTCTGTGAGATTATTTTTATCGTTTCAATGTAATATCATCCTTTACGTTGTACAGAAATTGGAGTATACTGCATAAATATTACAGCTTTTGAACATATGCCCACCTATAAACTAAACCAAGCTCACACCAAAGGAAACAGTTGGCAATGCTGTGTGTTCAAACATGGGCACAAAGCGGAAAAAGCAAAATCAAAGAATAGTAATATAAAATATCTGAACGTTTGTGTGGAGGGAAAACAATAAAACTTTATTGACTCTTCATGAGCGCTTGTATAAAGTGGACCTGTGAGATTAAGAAACAGGAGAGAATCGGTGTCAATTTTTGCTGTTGAAAATAATTATGCAAGTGTTGATGTGTTTTGTGCTACCTTTTTGCTGCTAGTCAAGAAAGATAATTACATATGATCATTTTGAAGCCTCGGTGTTTTGTAAAACTTCAGTGATGATGTTAGTAGTATTACAGAAATGATACAATGGCTAATTTCCTTGCTCAGTGATTGTAATGTTTGAGTTCGTTATTATGCATATTTTATCAAATATATATATATATGCAATATATAATATAGAGGCAGAAGACTATTCAAAATCCATTATTTCTTGGCATCAGAGAAATTTAATTTATTAGTTATAGTAATATTTATGAATTTTTTTTTGTAATTTGTAAATTAAATTTTTAGTTAAAATGTAAACAAACTTGTTTATATTGCAATATCCTGTGTCATAAAAACAAATGTATTTCTCTCTATTCATAGTAAGTATCAGTTTAAAATAAGAACTAAAATAATATGTTTTTCGAATAGATATTTAAATTAAATTTTTAAGGTAAAATTTTCATAACCTGGATTTTAAGCTGTAAGAACCTTGGCCTAAGTAAACAATGTAATATCCCAAAACTCCAGAGGGTTTGAATTTGTTCATGTTTACAGATAGTGTGGCAGATATGAATTAGAAGTAGACCCGCAGAAGGTATTATCCATATACGTATAGGATTAAATACGCTAATTCAATAAGTAAATTGCTTTAGTTTTGAAAATGCATTACAAAATTAGTATCAGATAATTTTATTGTTCTTTGAAAATTTCAAGAAAACTGCAGTCCTTATTTGATTAATAATCTCAGTCACCTTCTGGACTAGAAAATAATTTAAGTAACTTGATGCTTATATAATTTGTAATATATTTTCTTATGTAATAGTCCAATCAGCAATATTATTCTGTTGATATTGCATTGGAGTTTGTTTGCATTTTAACTATAATTTTAAATTAATTATGGAATAACATTTTTGAAATTCCAATATGTAAAAATCTGAAGTTTGCTTTCAAAATATGTGCTAAAATATTATACAGCTTTTTCATTTGAATTTGTTCTAGAAATATTACTTACTCATTTATGAATGATTATCGTATTTCTTGTTTCATATACTAATTTGAAAAAAAAAAAAAAAAAAAAAAAAAAAAAAAAACAGTAAAATAAATCTAAAAGCACAGAACAAACACTGAACAATCAACAGTATAACATTGTTAACTCAATGTAACTGTTGTGATTAAACATTAATGTAAAACCCCATGAGGTATAAAAAGCTTCTTTGATTTGACTACAATAAGTAAATATTAAAGAAAATATTTACACATACATGTACGTTTTACATTGTACTTACGTGGAATATGTAGAATGTGAACCGACTATCATCTTTTCATTTCTATATTAAAGGAAACTGCAAATTTAGCAACGTATGAAAATAAGATCAGAATTTATAATTAAAGCACATACAGTTTTATTGATTTTTGGCAGCTAGTAATGGAAAAGCTGTATATATTTAGAAAATATTATTTTAGGGAGAACATATATGTCATAAGAAAAAATGTTTCAATCAGAAGCATTGCAAATGTAAATTGTAAGTCAAAAATTGCACTTTTGTTTTGTATTGTTTTGTAATTGATATCTGAAAATTAATTTATTAATATATATTGTAACCGGTGCTGCACTAAATATGAACATAAAATTAGTTGCAAAGCAGTATTAAGTAATAAAGTAATTTATAATTGGATGGGTTCACTAGTCATATGGACGCAAAACTGCCAAGAACTATATTATACTTTAATATTGTACAGGTATGTAAATTTGCAATTTTTACTCTGATGCAATCAAAATGGGCTAACATAAAGGTACATTTCACATTCTTTTATAACACGTCGTTTTATCCGAAATTTGCCGACATGTGAAGTTACGTTATTCTGAGTTTTATGAAAGCATATTTCTACTGGCTCAGTAAAAATTTGAAAGTTGCAGAGATCTAGATCTTAAGTTCTATGTAATTTAATTCAGTTTCGTACTTCTTTATATCTCATTGATAAGTTTCTATATATTTTGAAATAATCCTATAAAATTCTTAACTAAAAAAATTGAAATGAATTATTTTCAGTATATCACACATTTTTACGATAAATGAGTCAAATACCTGTTGCATCGAATACATCTACATCTTTCTATATATATATTATAAACAATTTTAAATGAAAGATTAATATGAACACAGAGTATCTATGAAAATTTCAGTTTCATTTTGTCGAAGTAATTTAAAACTTGTTCTTGAGAAAAATCGTTACAGTGTTAAAACCTCGGTAATTTAACTAAAGATCTGAAAAGAGATAATTTCCGCTTATGCATTTTTTTAAGAATGAATGCAACATGAAGACCATGTTAAAAATAAAATTGTAATTTATCAAATAATTAAAAACGAGAAACTTAATAAACACTATTGTAACAACAAAAATCAATGATAGGCCATTCCATGGATTATGATTGGTTACTTCAATAAACATTTAATGATTTAATATCATGAAATAATGAATGCATACTACCAATATACTTAAACAGAAGATTCTTCAAATTCTATAAATATGTTATTTTATTCAAGAAAAATAATTCCAGCTTAAATTTATGTTAATGTATTTACTAATGCAATAATTTGTAGTCTCTATGACTACATTCATTGAATAAGTTAATATTACCTTAGGTCAGAATAGTTAATATCGTTTTAGGTAAGTTTAATTGCGTTGCATAAATTACGTCAATATTTTAGATAAATAATATACAAAACTGAGCTTTCGTCTTTCATGTAAGATATTCTATGAAAGTAAGCTATAATGTTTTTGTAAGATCTTAAGAAAACACAAGTTTCGAAATTATTTTGAAAAATGAATGAATGTTATTAAAAAAGAATTTTCAGATTTCATTCTTGTAAAAGTTGATTCATTAAGTTGTTTTAAATATTTTAGGTCAAGTGTTTTTTCCTTTCTCTTTATCATTATTTATTATACATTTAAAGTTACTTATTACGTTCACCTAGTCACTATTTTTATGAGTATTTATGAATTTCTTATGTTATGGAATGGAAATGTGAAATGTACCTTTTTTTATCTTTCACTGCAATTATTCACATGTAATATAAATTTAGCACATCTGTCCAGTAACTTCACAAAGAAACCTCACTTACGTGTAATATAATTATCATTCAGTTTTAATGTTTATTCATTTTCACATTTGTTGAAATTTTCAGAGCAAATATTTTACAAATAAAAGAGTTTTTGCAAAGCTACGAGAAGAAAACATTCCCCTATAAATTAGCTACATTAAACAGCTTATTATTTTATAAACAATTAATAGATTAGTTTAATATTTTTATTTAAAGCTAAAAATAATCCCAATTCTAAATATTGATTCGAAAAAATGTAAACTGTGTTAACATTTCAATATTCGATGATTGATTTCTTTGAAATAAAAGTGTCTATAGAAATATAATTGAAATGAATGTACTAGGAAGTGGTAAAATATACTGGAATAATTATTCGCTTGAAAGAAAATTGTTCGAAATTAATGATAATCTTGTACTTTATTGGAATAAGAAATCTGAACTATTACAATTCTTTTAAAATTCTCCCTACATTAGTGCATACTTAAACTGATATTAAATTAAATTTTCTGCATTGAAAAATTTATTGCTAAAACAGAGCAAAAATGAATCTCATATAAATGTTACATTTTAAATAAATAGTTACATTTTTCAAAGAATGGTCTTCATAGGTGTTTCACAAGTCTGTAACCATTTGTTAAATAAATATCACATTCTCTGTTACCTTTTGTATTCACGTCTGTGCAACGAACAATCTGGAATTTTTTTTTTCTTTACCTTCCTCATTTGTAAAAAAAAATATGTTTTGTTCAGTATTTATTAAAATAAAGTTTTACATTGCCGAATCAATTGCCTTGTTACTTTCAGCGCTTCTCATTCACACAAAAATAATTCACTTCAGAATACTATATGTTTCATATGATTTATCTATCATATAAAATTGAAATATTACAAAGCATTATGATATCAAAGTTAAATTTAACATAACTTTGATCGTCGTCAAAAGAGCTAAAAAATATGCATGGCCTAATAACACTGACCAAAAAAAAAAAAAAAAAAAAAAGACGAGGAAAAAAAAGACAGTAGGCTGTTTCTTTTACTTTACAGAGCAGCCGATGTTTAATGTTTAATGCGTAGGGTTACTAACGGAACTATAAGGATGTATAGAACAAATAAAACAAACAAAAGATTTTACACATGCATATACTGTATTTTATTTTTTATTAATTACATTTATTCATGAAAAATGACCAAATGTAAAATTGGTCGATGGTATGAGAAATATACATAATTTAAGACGTCTATAGTTATATTCCTAGTAAATATTAAATCTGTAAATAAGCTGCCAAGTATACTTAAACAGTTACTTGGCACCATATTGACAAGTAAACCTTCTCTTCTTTGATACTGGTTTTCCGGAAACCCATATATTTTCTGAAAGCTTATATTATAAGTAGAAAAACTGTGAAGTCTTAAGGGCAGAGGGGCAAGCGCTTAGAAGCTATAGAACTCACAAAATATCATTGAAGTGTGTATAGGTGGACATGTTTCCGTAATGGCGTCTCCATCTCTTGTATGTTCTTGCATTGTCTGCTTCCGAAATCCTACAAAAATTAACTGTTACCTGAAGATTTTATGGGAAAGATCCAGCCTCTAGATAATAATTTTTTCAGACACTACAAATCTTTTATTCGTTGCATAACGGGCACAATCATTATCGAGACACAGGAGTACATTTGGCATCACGAAGCACCATGTTTTCTGGCCCTGCAGTCATTTTCACTATATCAGTATTCGATGATATATCAATATTCGAGCTCCTTGTTTTAAGAACTTGATTAAGTATGCTTTTTATAAGGGCAGATATTTGGACGACGAACCTGGAATGTAGATTGTGCCAGTGGATTACTGCTTCGAATCATTGACAAATAATGAGTGTGCAAAGTGTGAGGCTATCGCTTTTGTAAAATGTGCCCATAGTGAACTGTCTTTCTGCCTGTCTCATTGTTTATTTGTTGAATTGCACATTAATTGTCTCTTGCAATATATTTTGTCTGAAGTCAATAACAAGTCCCATTATCAACATCCCAACGTATAATGTTTCTTTCAACAACTTGCTTCTTCCTTTATATTGAGATTCCCACCTTCTTACCATAATATAAGTTCATATAAACACGTAAAACGAGCATTTTAGGGACTTTTGGTGTCATGTTTCCAACACTTTTCTGATACTTTTGTGGGCTCTATAGCTCCTAAACGCTTGTCCCTCTGCCCCTAAGATTTCACAGTTTTTCTACTTGTGACATAAGCTTTAGAAAATGTATGATTTTCCGAGAAACCGGGATCAAAGGAGAGAAGGTTTACTTGAGAGATTAAAATGTTTCACAAAATCAAATGCCTTTTCATTTGGTATAAAATGCGGCAAACACCTCATGAACAAACTGACTATTTGCCAGATGACCTTGCCACTCACATGGCGTAGCGCATGCGCAAGGAGCTTTGACGTCACAAAAATTTCGCTATTTTTGAAGTGTTACTATGCGTATATACTTTGTCAAACTTAATTTGTGTGTGTGTTTGCTGGCGTGCTCTTTCATCTGTTTAATGATGCATTTAGATTGATTGTAACATTTGTAGTTTCGAAGATATAAGCATTCTCTGACACCTCAAATAGCACCTAAATTTTTGCTTTCCCACCAGACTATTACCGAGGAAAGTAATCCTACATTAGAAACTTCATGAGTACAGGACAGGACAGGAACAAGTATAGGTAGAACACGTCATCGCCACTGACAAAAATGGTATAGCCCCCATGCACTACCTCTCTAGCGTACCGCCCCTTCCACAGGGGACCTGATTACGGTAAACACAGGACATAGCATTAACAACATTTAGGACATAGCACAACATACTTACACATAGGACATAGCATTAACAACATTTAGGACATAGCACAACATACTTACACATAGGACATAGCACTAACATACTGTTACAGATTATTTGCAATGCAAGAAGTTATGTTCATTATAGCGCTTATTGATTTTGGCACCGCCTCTTCCACAGAGGACCTGATTACAGTAAAAAGTCTTCATGAGTACAACGAAACGTTCTTAAATATGAATTCAGAATTTATTGTTATTTCCAAAAGGCCGAGCAGTGTAACTTAATGCTTTTTTGAGAATGGCCAATAACCATCTGCCATTTATCCAATTCGTTAACGAGACAGCCTTGTTCAAGGTGCTCCATATGGGATGACCGATATTCCATCCTTGGAATGAGGGGGAGGGGGAATTCTCTCTGAATTTTGATGAAGGACACCTCGGGAGACTGTTCCAAGGGTCTTCCACCCCTTCCCCCAAATCTCTCGTGAGTTCTTAATGCTTGATCTATGCTTCATAATATAACTATAAGCGGATAGACAGACAGCCAGATAAGCCGAAGAATAAAGAGTAACATAGATAAGGGGCTAATAATCAAGAATGAAAATGAGATAAGTAAATCAAAGGAAAAATGTTGGACGCTTCAAAATTTAAAAGAGCAGTACAGTGTTTAATTACCTAAATATAATATCGAAAAGTATTGGAATGCAAAACAAGGAGTAAAATGCGAAGTTTTAAAAAAATCGCATAAACTTTACATAACCTCGAAGGATTTAAAGTATAAAAAAATTAATGAAATATTTAAAAATTTAAAACCGTAATAATCAAAGATTTAAAAATAACTTCAAGATGATCTTGGCATCAGACTTCAATTTAATACTTATAAAGATGTTTTATCGCCATTAGACTTCATCAGAAGTCATTAGAAAGGCCTAAGAATCACAGACTTCAGATAACAGTTAAAACCAACTTTATTTAAAATTTTAAAAAAGGAAGCACATCACGCATGAGGCTAAATATTTAAATATTAGCGCACATGAACCGATGCCAGACATCGGCCATGAGCAGGCAAAAGAAAGTGAAAAGTAAGTAGGTTGTATTATGTAAATTTCGACGAAGTGTTGAAGTTTTCGCCTTATAGCGAGTACATATGCATATTGCGCACCAAAGAATATTGCCACTCGCTGCAATGAGGATTTCCGCCATAGTACTCCTCCTCTCTGCTTGTCGGAGGCACAAAAGGCCAGAGATATCTCTGTTTAAACTTAACCCTTGTGCCAGAAAGAGTAGTGTACACTGGTGGTGTTTGGCTGGCCGGCGCAAGTATTTCATCCGTGGTGCATGATGGATTTACTGTAAGAGCCTGCTCAGAAACAGGAACTGGTGCTGGAGTGTCTGAAACTAAAAATACTGATTTCAGACGATCAGTGATAACCACTGTTTCTTTTCCCTTAAAGAGAAATGAAAAGTTTTTATTAAATCTTTTTATTACTTTAAATGGGCCATCGTACGGGCGAGTCAGTGTTGGTTTCAGAGCATCGTGCCTCAAAAATACTTGAGTACATGACTCTAAAAAACTAAGTGCACGATATATTTATTGTTACTCTAATACTTACTGTTGTTAACATGAGCTGATGTGGGTACTGGTGACATCTCTCTCATTGCCTCACAGAGTATCTAGATAAATGAAATCCTCATTGCAGTGAATAGCAACGATTATCTTTGCTGCGCAGTATGCATATGTGCTCGCCATAACGCGAGGATAAAAACTTGAAACTTTTTCGCAGAGACTTACAACTTACTTTGTTTTTTGGAATTTATGAGAAAGTTTTTTAAAAAACTTTCTCAAAGAAAAAAATAATTTATTCCTACTACTCTCATTAAAACAACCGATAATTTAAAAAGGCAATACATTTTCACACCGATACACAAGTTGACGAAAATCTTCACCAAAATATTCTTGAGAATCATTCGTACTGACGTAATACCGCTGTGAAATGACAAAATCCATCTAGGTTACTCAAGAACTTCTTCCAGCAGCACGTAAAACTACAGCATACTTCATCTGCCATATGAAATTAGGACTATGCAAAAGAAGGTGTACGATAAGTTCTGGACCACAGTATTTTGTAATTAGAGAAACGTCTTCCGTACACAATACATGGGCGATATCATGACCACTTTTCAAAGCAGGAGTAGCTTTAACATAGATCTACTAGTAAAAACTAGTTCTTGATAAATTAAATATATAAGAAAATATTATACTTAGAATAAGTTCTTCAAGGAAGTAAAGAGCAATAAAAACTAGGAAAAAAGTTAAGAAATTACTTTATCATAATTTACGCCATTACCTAGTCATTTGTTTAATAAGATATAGTTCCTTACAACATAGTTGTGGGATGTTGCAAATAAAAATTTTTGTAAATGAATGTCGCGAATAAAACTGTTTTATACTGCTAATATACAAAAAAGAAAGCACTTCAGAATAATTAGGAACTATGAAATGTATAGCGGTAGTTATATTTTAAATAATAAGATGACAAAAGCTTAAGCTTTTCTAATTAAAACCAGGAAGTACCAGAATAATTGAAGTATAAAGTCACGAAGAAATAGCTTGCACAGACCAATATCATTATTAGTTAAAATGCTTGCCTGAAATGATTCTCTCTGTGCACCTCTTGTGCGTCTTTAACTGTAAAAAACAGCTTTAGAAACTACATTAAAGATCATGGTCTGGAAAACGAAAATGCGTGCGTAGTTATAATTGTAAACAATGTTTTACTTTAAAAGATATAAGAAACATAGAAAAGGCTAGATGCTTTATTTCGGCTTTTACGACGGCACTCTCGTCTTCGTTTTCTAATTGCCTAAGAAAGAGGAAAGGGGGACTTTTTTTTATTTCCAATAGCTAGGCAAAAAGTTACAGAGAACTAAAATCTTACAAACAGAGGTTACAAACAATA